GTTGCTTGTTTTTATACATTGTACTTCATATTTTATGCAATATGCAAAGGGAAAAAGTTTTTACACAATCTACTTCAAGTATGCTGGAAAGTCATATTCTTCATAAAGAATGAAACAAAAGAGGCAGGCAGCAGCTACAAGGCTCAAAGTTTACCTTTCCAAACATACTCGTGGGACACCTGCAGCATTCATGAAGCTCCTGTGCAACCTTGATGCCTTCTCTATGTGTTCTTTCCTATGATCACATAGATTTACACTGCATTTACATTGCAGGTGCTTCATCTTCATGAGGCACTTGGCACAGGCAGTCCAGGAACTGAGAGCTCCACTGGGAAGATGAGATGATACCTAAAAAATAGAACAGTTGGGAGGGACGTTCAGAGATCACTTAGTCCAACTCCCTGACAGCTTCAAGGCTAACCAAAACTTAAAACATATTAATGGGGGCACTGACAGATATGGGACATCAATCACCTCTGTAGGAAGCCCGTTCCAGTGTTTGACCACTCTCACAGTAAAGAAATTTTTTCTACTGTCTAGTCTAAAAGTGTGTGATAACATGGAACTGCAGCATGAAGCAAAGCTAAATGGCAGCCCTTGCCATGGCTCATATGGTCCAATGCCTCTGAGAGGGGTGATCATTCTTCCCTTGTCTCCTTCCCTTTGTGTTGCTCTGTTCTTTTTTTCCCTTACATTGACACTATTACTCGGTAATGAGAAATTAACTGGGACATAAGTGAAGAGAAAAAAATCTGGTAAATATACTGATGACCTCGTCCCATAAACTACCTTCCAGATGTGGATAAGTGGTTTAAAGGCACAGCAAAGAGGTTGCAGAAAAGAAAGGACCATACCTAATTTAGTTGCAACCAACATCCAGCATTCAGAGACTCATGAGAAATACCTTTTAATTTATTGATTTATATTTTTTTAAGAAAAAAAATCCTTTGATGACTCACCCTGCTTTTTCTATTACTCTCAGCTGGGAAGAAAGTAACCGCTGGGTACATACATACATACTGCTATTTCAGAACTGCAGACTTGAAGAGCTTTCCCAAGTGCTGAGATATGCAGGAAAAAAACTGTAAATTACAGTGTGAGGCATTTAATTTTGATTGCTAAATAAAGAAGACTCATGACAGTCTATGACTATGACTTGCAGGGCTGCAATTTCAGATGAAATACAGCCTGAATTAGGAGAGTTACTGCCAGAGGCAAAGTTAGCACATCAATTAGGTGGTAGAAGAAGGCAACACCAAACACAGGCTGTGAATCGTTCTGACGAACAGAGTATGTAAAAAATAGCCATGTGTGTTTTTCAGTGAATACCACTGTATATGTCTGGTTTGAGTAAAATATGTATTAGAACAAAACAAACAGTGAAATAAATAGTGCTAGCATATATTAGCTTGTATAATCTGACGTATCCATTTTTCAGATAAATCTTCAAAGAAAGCAAAATTTATAGTATGTATGATAAGGACAAGAACTGTAAAATATCATCTTGAAGAGTGCCAGTCTGATAACAGGAAAAGGAATTCAGCATGTGAATGAAGGAGCAAGTGTGACTGAAACCAATGTCACTCAGCTTACTACAGCAGAAGCAATCATTTATGATCCTAGATTTTTTAAACTTGCTTCAGGATATCTAGGTAATCTCAAAAACAGGAACAAAATACAAATACAAGGAAAAATCCCATTTTCTCTTCACGTAATCTTTTTTTTTCTAGCTGCATTCTTAGTTAAAAACAACAACCAAGAGTTTAAACAACGTTTAAATGTTTACTGCTGGCTTTGTAACATCAAACTGAGTTGTTGCTGGAGATGACCAGCTATCAAGGTGCGTAACGGACTGCTAGATGTGCTTGGCCTCCTCTTACCCCAGGTTGCTGTGCAAACACAATACACATTGCCATACAAGCTACTATGAGCTCTGAAGGGCAGCTTAGACATTAATTCTACTCTGCGCCAGACACAATGACTATCTGAGTGGTTTATAACAAGGTGCTGGTTGACTTCAAAGTGGTTCCAAGTCAACCACTGCCAACTGCCTAAGACTGTATGCGCAACAGAGCTGATCATCTCCAGCACAACAAATAACATGGGTGCAAAAAGCATCCGAAATTCTGTAAATTAGGCTGTTCTGGCCACACCTTGGCTCATTAAAGGACTTTGAGAGATGCCAGAATAGCCTCTGCTCAATGTGATGCAGATGGACAAGCTATGGCATGAACGGGTCCAAGGCATAAGAAAACATCACCCTCAAGCACTACACAGGAGCTGCTGAGCAACCACTTGAAATGAAAGGTGAAAGTCTGAACAGATAAACGTTGGAAAGAGCTGCATTTCTACTGCTTACTGTGTCCTTGATTATGCCAACAGTAAGGAGGAATGGCAAACCCCATGAATTGGTTTAGGAACAGCTTCACAATGGACTTCCTGACAGAGGAAAAGGGCAGCAGAGTCCTTGCTGACCTCTTTCTGGGACAAACACAGATCTGGAACAGAGTTCAACCAATTTGTCTTGCTTGCATTCATGACTCTTGAATTTCAAGAGGTGCCTCTGATTTCCCCTGGCCTAACACCCTATCTAAAATTACAAAACCACGTTTTGTGTGCTGAGGACTGTGCAAAACTGTTGTGGTGATTGTGCTATTGCAGAGGTAGAGTACACAAAGTAGGCAAACATACTGAATGAGAGAACATCAAAAACACCTTCATGTCCTTTTCTAGAGGAGACAGTAAAGCAAAATGTTTATTGAGAAAATCTTGGATGTTAGTCCAAGAGATGAAAACACTATTCATATGTGCAGGGCTAGCTGTGTTTTACAGGTGCATGCTCCATAGATGCCCAGAGAGGACAAGGACATTGAAACCAAGCATAAAAAGGACTGTGGGTACCTAGGAAAGTTCTTCAAGGAAGCCTTGGAGGCATGTTTGAGTACCCACCTGACTTGCAGCTGAAACCCTGATGTAAACATGTGAAAATGGGAGCATAAGAGAAGACACTATACACTGTAACAAAACTTAAGCTCTCGGGCAGGAAAAGTTTGACAAGATAAAGTAAAAGCTATTGAAAAAGGAACATTAAACAAGATAGGAGGAAAGCTGCTTACTATCTGTAGATTTTCCTACCCCTCATGTAACTACTGTAACATCGACAGACAAAAAAATACTCATTCTGAGTGTAGAAACTGAAAGCCACTCCAGTTATCATGGTCTGCACATACACACATGGCTAAATTTCAGCAACACAAAACACGCTGCTTGGGATAAAGGAGCACCCTTTCACCTTTACCAGTGGGTACCACAACCACTGCGTATTGTCTGCCTTAATGTACAAAAATTGGGGATTTTATTATTCATTCCCTTGGGCTTTACAGAAGCCGGATTTTCTTCTTTAGTGCTCATCAAGGGTATTATTCAATAAAGAGTAATAGCTTTTTAGAATTGTGTTATATTTGATATTGTGCATTATGATTGTCTAACAGACCATGAATGTTCTTTCAGACAGATTTGGTAGTTTATTTACCTGCCATAGTAAAATAGGAGGTACAGAAGATCTATGGGAATAGCTTGTGCATGTACAATGGGCCTTGTTGTCACGACCTATGAAGAATGAAAATCAAAACCTGACCACCAACCATCCCTTGAATTCCACTAGGCTGTTCAGCATTCATTTCTGAATATCTGAATACTCTTGGCTCTGCCTTCACAAGGCAACAAACACTTTCAGACTGTTCCCCAAATCTCTTCCTCTTCCCCATCCACACTGAGTTCTCTAATTCATCCCAACACCTCTGCTCTGAAGTTTCAACAAAATGTGCATTCTCCTCTCACATGTATGCAGCACAGCCTTTGGCTTACATCAGATATAGTCAAACTTTCATTGAAAAGCTTCCATCTTGCCTAGGTGCAGAAACAGATGGAGCTGAGCTTTTAACAAGTACTAACTATAAGCTTCTCCTGTCCTCAAACTCTTTTGGCAGACCAAAACATTTTTCAATATGATTTTATTCCTTAAAAAAAACCATAAAGCTTTGTTTTTATTACATGGAAAGCAATGTATTACAAAATCCTCTGAATAGAATGACCATCCTGCAGCTGGCTCTGCTTGGAACTGCATTATTTTCTCTACATTCACGAGAAGCATCCTTATGTTTCTCTGCATACTGTAGTGAGAGATCACATATATATCACACTTTTCCCCCATCCATCTTGGGAGCAGTGCTACAGTAAATTCTGTAATTACAGTGCCCCAGAGATGAGAAGAAACTAAACAGCTGGAAAGGAGATACAGTCTTAAAAAGAAGAATGGTTTCCAGGGATTGATGGACTTTCTTGCACTCCTTGGTAATATGGGACTACTCTTGACTCAGCTTTAGCAGGGGGTGCTCATTAAATGGTGAATGGTGATGGGTCTTCTTGTTCTCCAATCACGTCTAATTTTCTCGTAATATTTTGGGATCCTTAGATTCATCTGACTGGGAGAATCCCTTGATCTGATTTTTTTTTTTTTTTTTTTAATCTGATTTTAGAGCTAAGTTTATTTGAAGCGTATTATGTTTATTCTTTTTTTTTTTAGAGTATTTTTTTTTTTTTAATTTTTATGTGTGTGTATTCATTATTTGTTTGGCTCTAACTATCGATATAGCTCAATCAAATTAAAGTTTAAATTCTGAAGAGCACATGTAGAGACATGTTAGACTTGAACTTGGTACATTGATACAAGAAAAGCCTGAATAATTACATTCTTCTATGAGGTTTTACTTCACAAAATAAAATTTGGCTTTCTCCAAAGAGAGTACCAGTCTAATGTTGGCCTACTCAGTGGTTTCAAGCACAATGAATCAAAAGGCAATGACAAGGGTAGTAACTCAAAGGATGACTCTTAGAAGGCTAACAGGGGGAGTGTCCGAAAGGGTACTGTATATATCACCAAGGACTCAGGGAATCTGTTTAGGTTCAACTGGCAAGCTGGATTATTACACGCCTCTTTGATGTTTTTCTGTAAGTACTTCTCCAAATAAAATATAACTTCTAAGTTGTATTCTTGAATAGGGGAAAAAAAAAAGCCACCGAGAAAACCCCACAGAAATATTATGTGAACTTAAAGGAAAAAAAGGGCTGCTTTCTATTTTATGATGTCGGCCCATGACATCGGAGGCAGATGTTGGTGGTATGGCAGTAGAGGCTGAACCTTCCCACCAGCATCCCATTACATGCTGTTGCTGTGTGACAGATGGGAACAGAGGGGCAGGTCTGACAGAATGGTGTCTGACATGGAAGTGCAACTGAAGCAAAGTGTGTCATTGAATTCCTCCTTGTGGAAAAAATGGCATCCATTGACATTCATCGATGCTTGCTGAATGTTTATGGAGACCAAAAAGTGGATTTGAGTACAATGAGGCAATGGGTGGTGTATTTCAGCAGTGGCGACAGCCACAGTGGTTCGTCTCCACTGGTACAGACTTTTACCAGCAGGAAATGCAGATTCTTGTGCGCTGTTGGCAAAAATGCATAGCTAATTGTGTGGCTGTATTGAAAAATAATGTTTTGTGGCTGAGAATCTGCTCAAGGAAATTAAGTTATTGTACTTATAATAATAATATTGAATACGCTCCATGTATCTATTGTAGTTTCCATGAAAATAAATAGGAGGCATTACTTTCCATATATAAGACAGATATGTAAAAAATATTTTTGGAAGAAAAAATTTCTGATTTGTCAGTCTCGCTCCCTGGAGAACACAGGTGAGGTACAGTGGGATGATTCACAGAGCCTGTGGTTCTACAGTTGTTAGCACCAGGAACCTCTCAGGTCATGTAGTAAGTCTGCTCCAAACTTTGGATATGCTATTACTCCAACTCAAACTGTTTTAGATAGAGGAGGGCAGTATTCAGCTTTCTTGGTCACAGATTCAAGAAAGAGAAGATTTCAACAAATTCCCCTAAGTCATGACATTAAATTGCATGTACAAGATCTTCACCTGGCTGATCTAATCACAGTGCTTTACAGTGCATCAAGCAATTTAGCCAAACTCTATATTTATGGTATATATATGCTTGTTTTTTGTTTTTGTTTTTGTCAACAAAGAAATGGAATCAGCAGAGATTAAATGTCAAAAACATTTATAGAGAATATAGAGAATTATAGAGAACATAGAGAATTTATAGAGAATATAGAGAAGAAGCCCACTAAAGCTATACTTTGGCATCTAAGCAACTGGGTAGATTTACAAAGAAATTCACTCCCATTTTTCCTATAAATTACAGAAAAGCAACCTCCCAGTTGTACAAAGGAGCAGTTTGAAACAAACTAAGACTATTGTGAGGTGATTACATTTGATTTAAATATCCAGAGTATGGTCCAGAGTAGACACAGAAGAAATGAAATGTATTTATATTGTCTCAGAAATCACCCACAGTTCTCTGGATGGCTATAGGGAAACTCATCCAGTCCACACTGTATTTGTCATACTGAAGCACAGGTGAAACTGTCTATTTCCTAAAGGGCAAATACAACATAGTGTTTTTATAAAGAGCCAGTACCTTTCTGAAGGAAAGTAAACATACATTTGGGAAACAATGGGTCAGTCTTTAGAATATTTCTAATGATCACAGAATTTTTAGGCTTTACATTATTGTTTCAGCATCACAGAAACAGCAATGAACAAGCAGCTTCTGGGCTACAGAAAGTACTTTTCATTACAAGTGCATTACATATCAACACTGCACAGTTCTATTTCTGTTTGTTTCAGACAACACTGATTTCAGGATGGGCTCCATCAGTGCAGCAAATGCAGAATTTTGTTTCGATGTATTCAATGAGCTGAAAGTCCAGCACACAAATGAGAACATCTTGTATTCCCCCCTGAGCATCATTGCAGCCTTGGCCATGGTCTATATGGGAGCAAGAGGCAACACTGAGTATCAGATGGAGAAAGTAAGTTATGCAAATGAATACAAGCTCATTTTGATCCTGGTCACTAGTACAAGTTATCCATGAATATCTTTGAGACTTTCTCCACTTGAGTGGTCAGCCACTGTACATTTGCCACTGGATTTGAACTTGGCTAGAAGAAGGACTTTGAACCATGAAGTTTAGATCAGGAGCTAACTTTTCAGTTATCACTGCTTTTCACTATGAAGGGTAACAGTAGTTTCTACTAAGGAGATCTCTGCTTCAGCTTATATTATCTCACAAACCTGACTCCTTCCAGATAAAATGAACAAACTGTCACGTATAAAAGATGAAACATTCAGAAATCATGTGAACTAACTGGAAGATCCTATCAAAAAATGTTCAGAGTAGCACATGCAGTAAAAAAATGAATTTCAAGCTCACATGAAACTTCTCAGTTCAGCCATTGGTTATTTCAAGCCCAGAATTTGAACACAAAATCTAGTGACTCTCAGTGGACTTCACACACTTCATCTCTTCTTCTGCTACTTCCATTTGCAGGCTCTTCACTTTGACAGCATTGCAGGACTTGGAGGAAGCAGCCAGACAAAGGTACAGAGACCTAAGGTACATTCATTTTTCTCTCACACACATTTTTTTCCCTGAGAACGGAACTTAAAACTCTTCTGAATGTGCTTCAAATAGGTCCAGCTCCTTCCCAAACCCTAGATAATGTTCTCAACCCAAGATATCCAAGTGGAAAACTCAAATTTGTTAAATCAAAAAACAACAACAAACAAACACAAAAAGAAGGCAGGTTACACATGTTGCGCCAGAAAAATTGGTAGGATATTTGAAGGACATTTTGAGCACCAGGACACCTTCCTAGATTGATAAGAGCTTGCATTCTTGTAGGGCTTGCTGGAGGATCGCACACGAACCATCTGTGTGCTTTTCTCAATGGTCACTTGATACATTTGGAAAGATAACACTATTCTGGGAGCCATGCTCCCAGACCTGTCCTCATTCACTTGGGTTCTCCAAGCACAATGTGGGGCTTGTAAAAGACAAGGAGATTTTTCCTTTTCCCTTTCCCTTTCCCTTTCCCTTTCCCTTTCCCTTTCCCTTTCCCTTTCCCTTTCCCTTTCCCTTTCCCTTTCCCTTTCCCTTTCCC